AGGGAAAAATGTGCAAAATCCCATCTTCATCCTTCAGTGGGGCTCTTGTATTTGGCTTCTTGCTCCTAACCAGGGCTCCGCAGCAACGTCAGGACACGTCTGCAGAGCCTGGAGTACGGTGTGAGGCTTTCCCAGAGCAGAGCCTGGGCTGCTGGGGATCATAAAATGATCTCCACATTTTGTGCCTACTTACACTGCATGAAAATCCAGTTTCGAATGATTTTCCTAAAGAGGCTTCTTGCAAGTGGGTCATTGTAAACTAGATCCTCATCTCTGAACTAAACTGAATTTAGAAAGCAAGGCAGCTCTTAATGATGTACTTAGGTAATTGTGTGCTCCAGTGCTTTCTCCAACAGAGGCTGTAACACTTCTTTAAAATTAGTTCATTTACTTCTTAGAATAAAATACCTACTTTCTCAAGCATGTTATTCTTTAGAGCAAATATTTTCCCTAAATCACAGCAGTGACCATAATAATAATACAAGCATACCTATTTTTTCCTGCAGTTGCAATTGAGCAAATTCCATATTTCTTGATCTTTTTTTTTTTTTTTCCTTTCTGGCTAAAAATAGCAGAAGTTTTCTTGTTAAATAAGTGTGCTTATTTATGAGCTCACTGACACTCTAAATTATCCAACTCAGTGGTTCATTAGAGGCAAGGAACAAGCTTAGGTAAAATGAAATCCTACTGCAGATCTTTATATAGCGGGATAACATGTCTCCCTCTGATTGCTGTGTATCGCTTTCCAGATTGAGGTCTATTAAGCTATAGGAAGTGGTTGCCTCTAAGAATTGCCGGAGGAATAGAGACGGTAGCTTTGGCGGGGAAGGCAGAGGGTCAGTATGAATCTCAGCGAGAGCTGCTTGGAAATTTTTTGTCACAACATGTTTCACCAGAAAGTGCTGCTGCAGCAAAAAAATGCTTTTGTTTTGACATTTTTGTAATGAAAAAATATAGCATTCCAGTTTGCAACAGCTTTTTGTTTTAAAATTTAAGCTATTTTATTTTTTTCCCCCGTAATTAAAACCCATATAAATCAGTTGAATGTTTCCAACAAAATGTTTTGACGGCTTCAAACTCAATTTTGGGAGAGGGGAGGCTGAAGAGGGGGTGATGTTTTGTTTACATTTTGGCTTTTCTGTTCACACTATTTGTCATGTTCTCAGGCAAGTCAGGAATTTAGAGCAGCGCTGGGACTTGCTGAAAGCAACCTGATTAATAGCAGCTCCCAGCGGAGCAGCTCCATCAGGCGGGAGCTGCTGGTGTCCACCGTGCTCTAGCACAGCCTTTCCCCATGTGCTTGGGCTCCAGTCGGTGGGTTGGATCTGTCCCCATTAGGGATCGCCGTCCTCGTGTTGGCAACCTTCACAGCGATGCTTTTTTGGGGAGCCTCGTATGAAATCAGGAGCTCCTCCAAAGCATCTCTCTCATCCGTTGCCAGCGGACGACTGTGTTAGAGGAGATATCAAACTCAAGGTTAGATGAGAGGATCCCGACCCTCTTCCTTATCTCAGCTGAAGTTTTGAGCCTCTCAAGGTTCACTCATCACTGGGTTTATTTCACACCACTGATGCCATTTCTAAGAGTGAGAAAATCCAGCCCTCTGACAACTTAAGTGCAACAGATCTGGGCCTCTGTGGTTTCCCTTGGAAGATATATTGCTGTTGAAAGACTTTTCAAGCATAGAGGGTAGGGAAAAAAAAAAGCACAGTGAGAAATGAAAAGGAAGCACCTGGGACTAGTCCAGACCAGGAGGCCCCCGCAAGCGTGAGCCAAGTCTGTAGGTTACCCGGTGAAATGCTGTCCCCAGTGCCGCTCTCCCACTGCCGCGGGCACCAGCCTCAGGCACGTACCCGAGGTGGGGATTTGGGGAGGGCTGAGCCCGCACTTCAGGGCAAGCATCCCTCCTTGCGGTGCCTGGCAGCAGGGGTGCTGCTCTGGGGGAGAGGCTGCAGTCCCCTTTTTCCCCTTTTTCTCCAAATCCTGAAGTGATGTTTCACATTTCTTATAAAAAGAGCTCTGTGTCTAGGGAGAGAGCTTCAATATTTTGATAAAGATTTCTACCGATTACTTGAATGCCTTCAGCAGGGATGTGTTTGTGCAAGAGGCATCAGTACAGCGTCGGTGTGGCAGCGCAGCACCTATTCCCAGCTCGGGTTTGCTCAGAGCCGGAGCAGGCTGTTGGGGGCCAGGGCTGGGGTGGCATTTGGGGGCTGGAAGATGCAGGCGGTTCTTTTAGTAGGAGCGTTATTGGTGCTTACCCAGGCACTGGAGGCTCTTTAGCAGGCCAAAACCCACTGAAGTCACCAGCAAGGCACTCACTGACCTTTCCAGACTTCGAATCAAGCCTTAAGGTTCTCCCTGTTCCCGTTTAGCCATTAGGAAGTTCATGATAGTCCCACCTGCCTCTCGGAGAGGGGGAGGTCCCCGGACCCTCCCTGGAGCGCAGGGAAAGGCACGCTCCATGCCCCACCTGTGAAATGATTTTGGTGTTGGGGAATCTTCGGGGACTCAACCAGATTAGTTTAGAGGCCGAGAAAACGGCATGGTATTGGGTAGGAACAATTTCAGAGAAGTCGGAAGATCTTGAAGCCTCTTGTATTTGATCATAGCCAAGGGGATAAATATCTTTAGTATGAAAGTGATGTTAGTTTTGCTTCTTCATCTAGACAGGAGAACAACAAAATACAATGCTAGCACTAGTGTATGGTTTTAAACTCCGTCCCAGCTCACTGGTAAGCATTTAAGTATAAACGTCCCGCTCTTTTTTTTCCATTTCTTTGTTATACTTCGTTTCTTTAATGTTCTGTCCCTGGTAACAATGTGCATGATGTAGCATCTCCCACTGCAGGGATATTGCTTTAGTGTCTAGAAGTATTTAGATTATGATAATTTTTTTTTTTTTCTTTTCCTAAAGATTTGTGTCCTGGTTTCTTATGCTTAATCATCTCTCCCTTTAGATCCCTCTAGCTGAGATGGAGGCTCTGTCTCTGACGTCAGATATTCTCTCTGAAAAGTCCTGGTCCTTAGCTCTGACGGATGACTCTTTTCCTGATGATACTAACACACACTTACTTAATGCTCTGGAAAGCAATGTACATACACTGGTCGCTGTATAGTCTGATGTTTACAGGGTTCGAAATACTGCTTCCACCCCTCTACACCTGCCTAATGGCATTTTCAGTTCAAGCCCATTTCCAAATAGCACCAGCCTTTCCCCTGAACAGGACGTTGTCCTTAATGCCATTAGGTCCTGGGTTGTATCACTCTTGTCCACGAACTTGGCTCCTTGCGAGGAACAAGTATTTCTTTCTATTTTTCCTTTGGCGTCTTATGTAAAAACAATGTGTTTTCTGCAAGTAAAATAAATAGTAAAAAAATGCTTTGGAAAGCGTCAAGGTTGAAATTTCCTCCCCATCTGAAACAAATCAGTGATGCTGCGTGGAAGAGACACCCATGAGCTAATGACTCATGTGTCCTCTGCTGAGGGGTCATCTACAACCCTTTGGTTTGTAATGGATTTTTGTCTTTATGAACGCAGGCACCACAAGGCTTTTTGCATGATTGGTGCCAGACTGTTTATTTTACAAATATCAGATGGGGATCTCTCCAAGATGCTGCTTGTTTTGAGAATTCTTACTAGCAGTCATCCTGCTGGGAGGAAAAAAAAAGTTTGGACTATTTCGTGTCTTTTTGAATGAAATAACCAGTATTTTGAACCCTGCCTTAACCATCTCCTCTTTGAAACATTAGACATTTTTAGCTGTGTAGCGGTCAAGTGCTTTATTTCTGCTGTACAACAGACATAACTCCTCTTCCAACATTTTTGGATCATTCTTGTTTTCTTTGTTGTTGTTCATGTACCTGCCTTTGGATGTTTGTGTTGTTGATAAATTTTCTGCTATTCTAGTCGATTGTCATCCTAATTAGCACTTATTTGGGAAACATCTCTTAAACCGTGACAATATTTCCCATCATGCTTCATGGCATCACGTGCAAAAGATTTTGTAAACTACATTTAACATTTTGTATGGGACATTTTGTTTCAAAATTAGTTAGTCTGGAGAGCTGGGCTGAGGAGAGAGCCCTTCTAGTTTTGAATCAGATTAGACAAACCTGTTTGACAGCATAGCAAAGTCTCAAGGGTATAGCCAAGAGAGATGGTTCTTCTCAAAAAAAAAAAAAAAAAAAAAGCAAACCCAGGTTGAACAAAGCGTTTTGTGAATTTGTGTCAATACCAACAAAGTGTTTTGGTCAAAACAATTTCCCAACTCCTGAAAAACTGCAAGCTTTCATTGAAATCTTTTCTACATGCAATATTTTTATACTTCATTTAGACACAGCTTTAGCTGAAAAATATCTCAGAATGTTTTGTTTGACTCAAAATAGATTTGGGTTGGGATTTTGGTTTGGTTCACGGAAAACTCAGATTTGATTTTCAGTCAAGCCAAAACAACATGTTTTTCAAAACTACCAGTGAACCAAAAAGTCATGTGCTCCTGCTGCTCTGTTTGTGAGCTGGACTCGGAAGATCATTTTGCAGCCATTTAAAATGATTTTCATGAAGTTCACTCACAAGATTTCGCCCGAGATGACCAGAAAGTGGAAGCGAGCCCACTGTGGTATTGGATCCTGTCAATGAACCTAAAGGTTCATTAAAGGTTGGTTTGGGTAGGATGTTGAATCCAAATTCTCGTGTTCAGATCCAAATGGTTTTGAATTTGAAATCTCAGGTTTCAGGCCATCTTTTTTGCTTAGCTAAATAATATGAAACCTAAATAGCATAAACATACTGCTCGGAAGGGGAGGGTAGGGAGGGGAGGAACAGAGAGGTTCCCAAAACCCAAAGTCTCAGCTTTACCAGCACAGGTTTCACTCTGCTTCCCTGAGCTATATCAGGAGACTGCAGTCTCTCTTATCTGGGCTATATCCAGGCTATATCCAAATCGGCAGGTTCCTGAGGACTGCAGCTAATGCTGCATGAGAATGCAGATCCGTTTCCTTCATTAAATTTACAACAGTGGTCTTCCTTTTTTTTCCTTTTCTTCTTTTTTCCTCCTTTTTTTTTCTTTTTGTAAATTCCTTTCAGTCTCATCATGTTTCTTGTGCAAATGAAATGCTATAGTGAATTTTTTTTTATGACTGAAGGCTAAAATTGGGAAAAAAACCCCAGTGTTGATTTCAGAAAACCTGTAATGCACCGAGTGAGGGGGAGATTTGTCAGAAAATAAGATTTAAAGTTTTCCAAAAATGATCAGCAATATACTGTATCAGACTACAGTGTCACATTTTATTTCTGTGTTTTTCAATGGAGACCTTTTAAAGATGAAATAATTCTTTCATTAGAAATATGCAGGGAAGTTGACTTTGCTTCCATTTTTGCTAATACTGTCCAACATAGTAACACCCAAGAACATTTCTGGGATGGAGATATTTCCCTGTGAAATCAGACCTGAATCCACCTCATTTGATATTGCCTCCGGTGCTGCCCATTCCAAGAGACTCTTTGGCTGCAAAATCTCCACAGTCAACATATATACAATAACCCTCGCTTGCATTAGATCCCTTCTAATTAGAGAATGGCTTTAACCCTGAAGCAGTAGGTTTAGATATCCCTTTCAATAAAATGGGTTGAGTTATTCATTATGTAAAAAGAAAAACCAATAAAATTGTGCTGGGAGCCAGAATATAGAATATTTTCTGTAAACTAGTTTTTGTTGGGGTGGGGTTTTTTTATTGTTAGAAGAAACTACTCACCTTTGCAAAAGTCTGAGTGGCTGGTGAGGGCACATAGAGAGAGAGCTTTACTGTTATTGCAGAGGATCAAAGTTATGCAAAGCATGTGACCTTTGTTGGCCTTGAGGCATGATGCCTTCTTCGCATATCCCTGAAATAGTCATGGTTTATTACTACGGTGTTGCTTCCTCTGTTTCTGTGTTCATTCTGTGTGACAATTTATTGACAATACAAAATGAGGGGTATAGCCTCCTGGTAGATCCATTCGTGCAACTTGTACATACTGACGATGTGCATGCCCATCGTGCCATACTGATTGCAATGGCTGTCGCTAGCGTTTCTGGGCACTTCTCCTCTTCCCACCCCGTGATGTCTTCCTTCCTCACTGTTTTTTTTCCCCGTAGGCTGATCTCCGCTCCAAAGACGACACACTGACCCTGTCTCCCAGCAAGGACTTGCTGAGCGTGAGAAAGCCTTCGGTGGGGCGCACCCACTCTTTGCCAAATGCCAGCTACATGTTCCAGCCGCCGTACTCCAGCCCCTGCCCTGCCTCCCTGGGCGAGAGGAATCCGGCACATCACAAGTCCCAGTCAGGTACTCATCTGTCAGCTGGGGCAAGAGCAGGATTTTCCAATATAGCAATAGCTGGGATTTTCCAAGCTATTCAGTAGGAGGCAGGAAATTGCCGTTGGTTTCCAGTGAAGTGTTGGTGTCCAGACCCGTGGAATGGCTTTGCAAAGACCCTCCACAACTTACAGAGTCCAGGCAGTTAAAGATAAGTCCTTTCCTCTGAACTTTTTGACAATGTGACGGTGAGCAGTTGGCCTGGCTCAACGCTGATTTTCTCCCTGCCTGGTTCCCTGAAGGTTACAGTCTGTACAGCCTGGGCTCCATCCGTCTCACCTGAACTAGCTATGGCCCCAGAGCAAAAATCCCAGCAGAAAAATATTTCCTCATGTCTGTTTTTTTGCAGCAGTACCTATTCTAGCAGGTTTTGGAAGCTCTCTATGGGAACACTTGTGAAAGATGGGAAAATGGTGTCTCTAAATGCTTGTAAAATGAACATAAACGTGCTGAATTGAGAGAGATCTTAATGTGAGATGAATGGAAAAATGAGAGAGTGCAGAATTTTCCTTCCCAGTGTGCGTGGTTGGGATATACGCCTTAGAGCTAAATTCAGAGATATTCTTAGATACAGCGTATTGCAGATACCAAGGGCTCGCTCTCTATCCGCACCTCTCTACCTGTACTTGCAGCTGCCTCCCGGTGCTTATCAATGTGCTTTCATTTACTCTGTCTGCTAGGGGTTACCTTCTGCTGGTAAGTGAATGTAGCTGTCTAATTCTTCTGTACTTGCCATCATTTTAGACATTTGTCACAGATAAGACAGAGAAGTTTTTACAAGCATTGTCATTTGAAAGCCTCTAAGTAGAACATAATTTCAGCACTGTTCAGAATGGTAGGAGATTTGAACAGATTAGAAATAAGATGTTGAAATTTGCATAGTAATAAGAATTTGGATGAATAGTGACTGTTGAACAGCAGAAGAAAAAAAATGCGGACACAACGGAGGAAGATGAATCTGGAGTTGTGAGAAATCACTGCCATAATACAAAATTTTCAAGGTCAAGAGCTGTCCTTTGAAGAACCTGTTTGCACATAATGCAAAAGGTGCAGCTAAAATCCTGGTCAAATCCCACTGAAGCAATACCAAAACTCCCGTTACCTTCAGTGGAGCCAGAACTTATGGCTCTCTCTAACAGCCAAGAAATTCCTTGGAGTTATAATCCCTGACCATACGAAAGAATCCCATTTGCTACAGAGGGAGTTTCCAGTGCTGCATTTTTGACCCTTAATTCGAATGCATTTGCCCTGTCTTGAACAAAAAACACATCAACTTGACCAAAATGTGGGTAATTCCTGAGTCCCTTCTTTCTTCAAGATTGCACTTCCAGCTTGGAGAACTGAATAGCCCCATCTGACAGCCCTGGCTTGGGCAGGGGCAGGCATTGCACCCTTGTAAATTCACAGGAAAAACTGTTCCACTGAGAGGTAGGAGAAGTATTTTGGAAAGGTAAAGCTGATGTCTTATTCATAACCACATTAAGCAATTAAACCTTTTGTGTTTTTCTCCTGCTGGTGAAATTCCAATTGTCTTAAGCAAGCCAAAGTGCTCAGAGGTGGGTGAGGTGCCCAAATCTTGGCATATGCATCATTGTCCTGTTCCACCTACAGTGTCACTGCTTTTCAGGGTGGGGAAAGTCACCCCTACCTGTTTACAGTTTGTAATATTATAAGTGCTGTGAAGATAGCAAAAGGTGTCAGGCGCCTCTAATAAATCACCACAACTAAGCCATAATATTTCAAGCTGAGAAAGGTTTTGTTGTCAGAAACACTGGCACTTGCAGGAGGTATTTGTTTGAATACTCCTTCGTAATGGGGCTGTTGTTCTGGGAAAGATTCCAGGACAAATGAGATTCTCTGGGATGCGGTCCAGGTTAAATGAATTGTTTTGAAAAATGTTGAGCCTGGTGGGGGGGGGGGGGAAAAATGCAGAGTTTCAAACCTTTTAGAAGAAGTAGCCAGCAACCACAAAGGGTCAGAAAGAGGCTGGAGAGTATGTATTTCCTTCTCCTGGGATGCTTTGTAAAACTAGCCTTGAAAGCTGCCAGGTGCCGTTCCCTTTCACTTCATTTCCAGTGTGCAGTTCTGAGATCCCAGCAGTCGGTCTCCGCATACGCTGAGGTACGGAGACATCCTTTTCTAGAGTCTTTCAAAGTCAGATCCTTGTGGTGCTAAGATGTGTGGTTGCCTGCAAAGTTATTGGCCCTAAGGCAGGGATGTAGAAATTGCCAGTCCAGATGAACTTCCAGTTCATCATCTTCTGTTCTTAACAGGAGCTAGTCCCAGTTGTATCAGGGGAAAATGCCAAGGAAAATGAAATAATAGACAATTTTGGAATAATTTGTTAGTAGGTGGGAGTTTTTTCCCGATCATGGACAGCCAGTTGCTGAATGCAGTGGGTTTGCCATGCCTGTCTGGTCCAAGGTGCAACAGAGCAGTTTTCCCTGAAAGGTCATTGAGATTGGGATGCAATCCCCAGATGAACATGTCACATTTCTGTCTCTTCTCCCTCTTGCAAGGTTCAAAGGCATCGGTGCAGTCACAGCCGGCGGACACCAGCTCTCTCCTGCAAATTCCAAAAGACCATTTTCACCACGTAAGAGCTCATGACCATTTGGTGAGGGACAGCAAACCCCAGGTTTCCCAGCAGGTGCACTCTCCTTCTGCTGAAAGGCTGCTCCGCAGACAGGTAAGCAGGTTTATGATCGTGAACCTGCTGAGGTTTTATATTGTTGTGTTTCCAGGTCAACCATGCTTTAAATTCAAGGAGGGATTCACAGAGAAACCTCCGGAGAACTGTAATTCTCCTACAGAAATAACAAAAAGGTTGATGGATTTTGATCTGAAAGCCATCCAGGAGTCTCCAAAGAACGTGCGTGATGAGTATCATCTCCTTTGGCAACATGCCTAAATGTTCTCCACATTGTTAGCACTTTATTTTTTTCAGTCCTCTTCATAAATGCAGCCAAATGCTCCCTAGGGGCTCATTGGGGTTAAGGAACTAATTCTTAACTGCTGTGATTTTCTCAGTGCTTGAAAGGACACAGGACTGCAGAATCCATCCCAGGCCACCCTTCCTCTGGCTCCTCTGGTTTCTCGAAAGGGGAAAACTGTTCAAAGGAAGCTGGATATCTCGTATGCAAAACCATCATGGAAAACATACTGTTTTTACAGTGAGAATTGAAAATTAAGATCCTGTTGAATCTCCTGTGTGCTTTTGAAATGTTTGAGTATATGCAAAACAGAACACATTATATTTTGCAACTGTTTTTTTCTCTGGTTTTTGCCTGGCATTGATTTAAATCCTGATTCAACCAAAGACCTAAGAGATCTAATCAAAGATTCCAGTCTGGTTGATTGGAAGCATAAGTTTAAATTTATCTTTTTTAGTCAAATACTTAAACTTGTGCTTCACTCTCACATTTTTAAGCATATTTCATTGTGCAGCTGGACCAGGACCAGAGGCATGTCTGATTCCCAAACTCTGCTTTCTTCAGTAGTTTCACGCCTGATTTTATATACACAAAATAGATCAGTTCTGTTTTTTCAAAAGCAATTTCTCTCCTGCATGAAAATATTCCCATTTCTTTCGTCTTTTAATCAACATTGACAAATTAGACAGTTGATTCATTAAGCTCTAAAAATGAATGTGAAGTACCAAGGTTAACAATTACATTAGTCGGTAATACTAAATTGACATAAGAAATTCCTAGCATGTATCCGTTTGCACAGGGCTGGCCAGCTACCCCAATCACTGCTAATGGGGAAACTAATTGATGTCACGATTCCAGTTCATAACCACTCTCTCTTGCTTTCTAATGAATAACAGGCCCATCCTTTTGAACTGATCTATCTAGAATAAATTACCACGTTAGCCATCTTCCTCAGCCTAATTTTGTTCATACCTTTGAAGGCTTCTTTTTCTAAACCTTTTCATATGTTTAATTTATTCCCCTCGCTCCTCTCTCTGCTCATGCGGTGACATGAGCATGCTCTTGGAGTGACATTTCAGAGAGAAAAGAGCTTTGGGACAGTGAGCAGATACGGTCCACGGGCCGGACAGATCCCTCCGAAGGTTAGTGAGGTGTTGCCTTGGGCATGCTCCCGAGTAGCAAGGAGCTCCCAATGTGGCTAATGGGAGCAGTAAGCTTGTTCTGGCAACAGGGCAGTGTTACGATTACTGTTAATTGCAATCGAGATGGCCAGACACTGTGAAACTTAGTCCTTAAAGAGGCAAAATTCCCTTTACACCCCCGGCATTTCTGCTTGCTCAAGTGCTCTCTGCTTGGCTCCCTTTATCGCCACTACTAATTTGTTACTAGCACATCACAATAGCCCAAACTAGCAAAGCATTCTGGTTTGCAGTACCCATTTTTCCTTACTGCTACATATATTGCATGTAATTCTGACTTGTTTTCTTTTCTTTCTTTCCTTTCCCTTCCCCCTTGTCCCCTCTCCTTTCCTAAATTTGTGTATAGATAAATCTTGTCCACCACATACCTGGTCCGTGCACTTTCCTCCATCATTAAAACCTGTGTGTTTAACCTCCCTTTCCCTCCAGAGTGCTGGAGAGTGAACACAGTCCCCACAGTAACGTGCAGTGTAGACTCTGGAAAGTGTGACAATTAGCAATGCACTCGCAGATGAAGATGAGTGGATCGGATGCTTTGAGAGAACATTCCCTGCTGAGGAATACGCTCCTTGGCAGTGCATCGCACAAAAGCTTTTCTCCAGGGGAATTCTACCTGAAATGAAAAATATATTGATTTTCTGGTTCCAGGACCGTGTATCCAAGGTGTAGCCCACACCAAGCTGTGGCTACTACAGGTGTACACCCCAATGGGATGGCAGAGGGTCCTTTTATTTTGAAACAAACCAGTAAAACATTTGTACAAACAGTTATT